TTGTTTTGGATATGAAAGAATAATTGAAGTATTTTCGTGATTTAGGTAGTGAAGAATAATAGCTTCTTCAGAATCTTGGGTTTCACTTTCCATATTTAGAAAAAAGTGAACAAATTTAAATTGTAATTCCAAATGTTCAAAGCTAGCAGGGCAGCTGTTTTCTTTGCCATTTACATCGATGTAGGTACACTTTATGAAAACCACCACAGAAAGTGATCAGCATACAAAATTATACAGATTAAAAAATGTATCTTTTCTGTAAACATCGAATTTTTTTATAAAACTCAGGTCAGCTCTGAGAAATCTTTGCTTTGAAAAAAAAAACAAAATATGATAAATTATTATTTTGGAAGTACGTATGTATGTAAATAATTACACAGGTCCACAAAAGAAAAGTCGCTGGAAAATAATTAATTCATTTTGGAAAATTTATAGATTATTGTACCAGTTTTTAAATATTTTGCGTCCCAATTTTTGCTATAGATTTATCTTCAGCGGTAAAAGGTACATGGAGAAACATATGTCACACACCCAATCCAGACAACTTTTTTGTGGATCCTTGGTTAATTTCAACCATAAAATTCATAAAAAATTTCCATCGATCAAGATTGAGTGAAACATATCAAAGCTGCATACGCGTTGCTACTTTCCTCATTCAAAAAAATATAATGAAGAAAAACGGCTGATTTTAAGCATATATAAAAAAGCAGTGGCAAATTTCTCATTAAAGTTTTCAAGTAAATTAGTTTTTGTGTTTAACTATTGTTTTTATTTTGTATTAATATTTATATACACTTATAATATACACTCGTAATTATATAAAATATACTTTTTCATTTTTGTATATTTGTTCTTTTCTTGTTGCAATTTTGTAATTTTGTTGCATTTACATTATTCCGGCGCTCAGTCAATGAATCTTTTTGACTTAATTTTAGTTCAGACTTTTGAGTTTATGGAAAATTTTAAATTTTATTCAAAAAGAAAAAGCAATTTATATTTTTATGTGTTGTACAAATGTAACAATTTTTTTTTAAATTTTATTCTTCAATTTAATTTTTTTTAATGCGAAATGGAAAACTATACATATACAACTCCAAATTTCACTCTCTTATTTCATAATAGTCATTTTAGCTCGATAATCGATCAATTAACAATGATCGTTTTTTTTGTGAACGTTTTTAATTAAAATTCGATCAAGATTTTTTTGAGCTTATAAAAAAGCTTAAATTTATACGATCTATTCATTGCAAAATTTTAAAAACGATTCATAGATATTGGCAACGAAATGGTTACCTCCGATAAAACTAACTGATTTTCTGTTAACTGTTATCCTACTGTACAAATATTTCACGATGTGTATAAGTACATAAATTTTGAATGTCTTGCAGAAGAAGCGAGTTTAGCAAAAAAAATTTAGAAATTCAATATTAAAATCTGAAGATAAAACTGTTTTTAAAAAAAGTTAGATTTTTTTTAAATTATTGAAATCTTACTCGTTTCGCTGAGCATAGCATAACATAATACAAATATGGATGTTAGTATTTTAGCGTTGCATTGGGTAAGTTATCAATGTGTTTTTGTGTTAGCTGCCCCTTTCATTTATATACTACATATTTGTACATTCAGAATTAGTTAGCCATGCGGCCCGCCTTGAAATTTTAAAATTGAAATTGGCCCGTGGATGAAAAAGGTTGATCGCCCTTGTTTTACATAGTGATATCAAGTTGGCCATGAGTGCGCAGTAGGCTTTGCAGTAGAAAAACAAAAGAAGATACGTGTCATGACATTTTACTTAGTAATATCAAGTTGGCCATAAGAACGGAGTAGGCTTTGCAGTAGAAAAACAAAAGAAAATACATGTCATGATGTTTTACATAGTGATATCAGGTTGGCCATGAGTGCGCAGTAGGCTTTGCATAAGAGAAACAAAAGAAGATACGTGTCATGACATTTTATAAAGTGATATCAAGTTGGCTATGAGAACGCAGTAGGCTTTGCAGTAGAAAAACAAAAGAAGATACATGTCATGACGTTTTACATAGTGATATCAAGTTGGCCATGAACGCGCAGTAGGCTTTGCAGTAGAAAAACAAAAGAAGATACATGTCCTAACGTTTTACATAGTGATATCAAGTTGGCCATGAGTGCGCAGTAGGCTTTGCAGTAGAAAAACAAAAGAAGATACATGTCATGACGTTATACATAGTGATATCAAGTTGGCCATGAACGCGCAGTAGGCTTTGCAGTAGAAAAACAAAAGAAGATACATGTCATGACGTTTTACATAGTGATATCAAGTTGGCCATGAACGCGCAGTAGGCTTTGCAGTAGAAAAACAAAAGAAGATACATGTCCTAACGTTTTACATAGTGATATCAAGTTGGCCATGAGTGCGCAGTAGGCTTTGCAGTAGAAAAACAAAAGAAGATACATGTCATGACGTTTTACATAGTGATATCAAGTTGGCCATGAACGCGCAGTAGGCTTTGCAGTAGAAAAACAAAAGAAGATACATGTCCTAACGTTTTACATAGTGATATCAAGTTGGCCATGAGTGCGCAGTAGGCTTTGCAGTAGAAAAACAAAAGAAGATACGTGTCATGACTTTTTACATAATGATATCTAGTATGCGCAGTAGGCTTTGCAGTATAAAAACAAAAGAAGATACGTGTCATAACATTTTACATAGTGATATCAAGTTAGCCATGAGCGCGCAGTAGGCTTTGCAGTAGAAAAACAAAAGAAGATATATGCCATAACATTTTAAATAGTGATATCAAGTTGGCCATGAGTGCGCAGTAGGCTTTGCAGTAGAAAAACAAAAGAAGATACATGTCCAAACGTTTTACATAGTGATATCAAGTTGGCCATGAGAAAGCAGTAGGCTTTGCAGAAAAACAAAAGAAGATACTTGTCATGACGTTTTACATTGTGACATCAAGTTGGCCATAAGTGCGCAGTAGGCTTTGCAGTAGAAAAACAAAAGAAGATACGTGTCATGACGTTTTTCTTAGTGGTATCAAGTTGGCCATGAATGCACAGTAGGCTTTGCATTAGAAAAACAAAAGAAGATACATGTCCTAACGTTTTACATAGTGATATCAAGTTGGCCATGAGTGCGCAGTAGGCTTTGCAGTAGAAAAACAAAAGAAGATACGTGTCATGACGCTTTTCTTAGTGGTATCAAGTTGGCCATGAATGCGCAGTAGGCTTTGCAGTAGAAAAACAAAAGAAGATACATGTCCTAACGTTTTACATAGTGATACCAAGTTGGCCATGAGTGCGCAGTAGGCTTTGCAGTAGAAAAACAAAAGAAGATACATGTAATGACATTTTACATAGTGATATCAAGTTGGCCATGAGTGCGCAGTAGGCTTTGCTGTAGAAAAATAAAAGAAGATACATGTCATGACGTTTTACATAGTTATATCAAGTTGGCCATGAGTGCGCAGTAGGCTTTGCAGTAGAAAAACAAAAGAAGATACGTCTCATGACGTTTTTCTTAGTGGTATCAAGTTGGCCATGAATGCGCAGTAGGCTTTGCATTAGAAAAACAAAAGAAGATACATGTCATGACGTTTTACATAGTGATATCAAGTTGGCCATGAGTGCGCAGTAGGCTTTGCAGTATAAAAACAAAAGAAGATACATGTCCTAACGTTTTACATAGTGATATCAAGTTGGCCATGAACGCGCAGTAGGCTTTGCAGTAGAAAAACAAAAGAAGATACATGTCCTAACGTTTTACATAGTGATATCAAGTTGGCCATGAATGCGCAGTAGGCTTTGCAGTAGAAAAACAAAAGAACATACCTGTCATGACGTTTTACATAGTGACATCTAGTTGGCCATGAATGCGCAGTAGGCTTTGCAGTAGAAAAACAAAAGAAGATACGTGTCATGACGTTTTACATAGTGATATCTAGTTGGCCATGAGTACGCAGTAGGCTTTACAATATAAAAACAAAAGAAGATACGTGTCATGACTTTTTACATAATGATATCTAGTTAGTCATGAATGCGCAGTAGGCTTTGCAGTATAAAAACAAAAGAAGATACGTGTCATAACATTTTACATAGTGATATCAAGTTAGCCATGAGCGCGCAGTAGGCTTCGCAGTAGAAAAACAAAAGAAGATATATGCCATAACATTTTAAATAGTGATATCAAGTTGGCCATGAGTGCGCAGTAGGCTTTGCAGTAGAAAAACAAAAGAAGATACATGTCAAAACGTTTTACATAGTGATATCAAGTTGGCCATGAGAAAGCAGTAGGCTTTGCAGAAAAACAAAAGAAGATACTTGTCATGACGTTTTACATTGTGACATCAAGTTGGCCATAAGTGCGCAGTAGGCTTTGCAGTAGAAAAACAAAAGAAGATACGTGTCATGACGTTTTACATAGTGATATCAAGTTGGCCATGAGTGCGCCAACAGTAGGCTTTGCAGTTGAAAAACAAAAGAATATACGTGTCATAACATTTTAAATAGTGATATCAAGTTGGCCATGAGTGCGCAGTAGGCTTTGCAGTAGAAAAACAAAAGAAAATACGTGTCCTGACGTTTTACATAGTGATATCTAGTTGGCCATGAGTGCGCAGTAGGCTTTGCAGTAGAAAAACAAAAAAAAATACGTGTCATGACGTTTTACATAGAAAAGAAACAAAAAATTATGTGTCATGATATTTTAAAATTTGTAAAAACAATCAAAGATTTTAATAAAAATTTTATACTTTTCTAATATGTTTATTTTTGATCAACAACTAAAACACCCATGCATTTTTCAATTACTTTATAAATTTTGGTAAAATTATAAAACCACTCTTACCAATAGTATTTTTACGACAGCCAAAAACAAATAAGAAGGATTATTATATGCATGTAAGCTCCAAAACTTTCAAAAATTTAAGCCTTCTGGTATTATTTTCTAGCAAGTGACAAAAAAAGTCCAAAACATTAAATGTGAATGAGCAACATAAAATATTGTAAGAATTTATTACCTGAGCATTTGGAATGTGCATGTAAAACTGGCTTAAAGCAATCAGTCCATCTGAGATCACGAACAAAATAGCACCGATACTGCCTGATAAACGCAACCATTTGTCACAGCCCTGTGTAATAAAATTTAGTATTATCATTTAAAAGTTAATTCTTTATTTCATTGAATATATTCGCACCTTATCATCAAAACTGTGTCTGGCGGTAGCTCTCCAAAGCATTGTAACTAAAAGAACTGCGTAGATGGGCAGTCCATACAGTAAAATGCCTTTGAGGTTTGAAAAAACTAGGGCAACCACTAAATAAAAATCGTACACCTATGAAGAGCTATATCACATACAATACATAATATTGCCGTACTTAACAATAATTTGAGTATAGATTGTTTTACTTAATCCTCTAATCTAGACTGATTTATGCTGCGGTCCACTTAATGGAACAATCAAATAATATCTTCGATGATCGTCACAAATTATATGATATAATATTATTAAAACATCAGTTCTGTATATTTAGTGGTTAATTTTCGTAAATGATTAGCGTTTTGTTACAGTGATAGAAAATTACCGAAAGGTAATCCCGAAAATCGGCGCTTTACGTTAGGATCGAATAAGCCCAAAAATCGAAATCGTTTTCGCAATAGGAACAAAACTGTGAAAAACTGTGTTCAATTTTTGTGTCAATTCTTTTTTAACTTAAGTTTCCGATTTAAGTGCTAGATCCGGGCTCACCTTTCGCCAATACTCCATCAAAAGTGCTTAGATCAATAATATATTCATTGTTAATTGCTGACGAAATTTATGTTAACATCTTTATTGACTGCTTAAATATATAAAATAAACTACACTCAACCAAAGAGAAAACCAGATTCCAGAGTCTCGATTCCTCAAAAAAAATTATTTGCTAGCACATCGTGCAAGTTATTAATTATATGTATAATAATCAATGATATGCATAAAAATTATTTACATATAATAATGTTCAACATATAAAATATCCAAAAGTTAAAGCCAAATAAAAATTATTACTATACTATGCAGTTATAAAACATTACAAATTGAATAAATACTCTGACGACTTACAAGCAGTTCCTACTAAGTACCAAATAGCACCTAAAACAGGTTTTAATGGTTTGAACCCAAAAGTAGTAAAATAGATCACCTGCGCCACACCGAAAGCGGCCATTCCGTGTGGAAAAAACTCCTTCCACACCAGAAAAGCATCACCAATACTCGAAAAAACAAGTGCCAATGCCAATTTGCTGAAAATCATCAATTGCATTTAAGATTAATCATAGATAAAATATCATACCTTGATTCATAACTAATAGGAAAAGAAAAATTAAATAGTTTTGATTGTTTCCAAAAATTATCATAATAAGCTGGGGCACATCTTCAATTTTCATATGGAATAGTTACTAAACAGGTCCATTGATTTTTTTGGTTTTTTACTGAGTAGTAATCATAATTTTTACTAAAGATTCCTCAGAGACGTGGTGATGATACTTTTTAACTAAGTGGCGTTTTAGAAAGCAACCCAACGTTTTACCTATATATGTACCTGATATATTTTTATTATTAGAATTTCAATTTAAAAAAAAAACTCCGATTATCCGAATATTTGATTATCCGAATGGGTCCTTCTTATAATTGGAGTTCTACTGTACTGATAATTTTAGTATGATGCAGCAATGCCAAGAAAGGACTATTTTTAGCTGTAAAATATCTTAGATATATATTATCAAGTAAAAAACGATATGTCTACTGCTTGATATTAGACTGTCCGACATGTAAGTTGCTAACCATAGCGAAACGTAAGAATTATAATACATGAATGAAAAGAAAAAGGATAAAGTCAAATAGGGGAGACTGGGTACGGTTGTGCCACTTTTCTATATAATTAGCAATAATTTTTTCATTTACCAATTAGCTGGATATAAAAAAATTAAATGGTAATTTGAACATTTCTCTATCAGGAAATACTGGAATACTGTTCTTAAACACGATAGATTAGTCATAAAATCAAATCATACAAAAAAGGACCCGAGGGACGATTGTGACGGGCATAAGGCAATAGCTATACACAGCAAAATGATTCATAACGAATTTTATTGTCAGAAATATGTAACACAATATAATTATTTAAACAAAGCTTAAAAATATAATACGAGTATAACAATATAAACATATTTTTTTATACGAAAAGTCGTTGCAAAATTGTATTGAGTTTTTCTTTTACTTTTTCTTTGGTATTTTGTCTTAGTTAAGTTAGATTTTCTTATCTGTTTGAAGTTTGCCCAAAAAGGACAAAAAATACATGACAAAACATATACATGTCACCTAAAGCAAAAGTAATTGCTGGTAGACAACTATTAATGTTCAACTTACAGCAAAATAACAAACAAAGTGATCCATAGTAAGTGATACAGGTAAGCGTTAGCACTAATAAAAACTTGTTCATACAGTCAAACTTCTTCTTTCTCCCTTTGGACCCTATCTCAAAATCAGTATAGTTTACCTGTTATGATAACTCTCACTACCGTCCCTGGCACAACCGTACCCAGTCTCCCCTACTATCATCTTATATGCATATCAATAATAATCTTACTTTTTATTAGTGGATACTCCAGCTTTCAACACAAAATAAATAAGACAATAAATAGGAGTGCATTTTACTATCACTGCCAGAACAGACGGCTGATCCTTCGGAAGAGCAAGTACGAAATATGAAACCGCTGTTATCAGGAACGGCAACAGCCTGGGCGCAACCGCCAAAATCTGAAATTATGAATGAATCATTAGTAAAAGATAAGAATTTGTATGAAATTCAATATTATCTGGATATACATGGAAGCAATATAAAAACAACAATATCTCAACAAAATAATTCGCAGAAAGATCATTTTTAATATCCGGGAATTAAAGAACTGAATGAATCAGTATGTACAGTTGATAGAAGTTTAATCAATGGAAGTACTAAATAACTCTTGATAATCTCTCATATTTTTATAAAATAATATTAGATTGCAGTCGTAAAAAGTTCTGAAGCCCTTTTATTAACGAATTTTTACTCACTTTATCAATATAAAGTAGAATTTTCGGTGTTATTACCAAATGAACATTATTGCTTCATTGCAAATTTGAAACGTGCAATATATGTTTATATTTAAACGAGCTTTCTTCGAAGAATTGCCATATTAATTTCTTATTTTCTATAAAAGAGCTTTACTCTAATAAAACTTTCAAAAGTGTGCGACAAAATATCAATAAAAAAATTAATGTATCCATTATAAGTTTAGTATAATCTCTAGTAAAAGATATTACATTACACTAATTTACACCCATTAATATCTTGAAGAAATATTTTAAGCCGCGATATTTAATCTTCTTAGCATTCAGAGATCTAAATTTCAAGAATTTGAAGAAGAATTATATACATATATATATATATATATATATATATATATATATATATCGTATAAAAAAAATATATGAGATATAAATTGAAGAATTTAACAGAAATTCATCTATAAAAAACGAAAATTAGCTGATGTATTTTTGTACGTTTTTCATTAATGTACCATCTATTATATGTGTAATTTAAAATGTATTTAAATATATTATGTGATTACATATATGAGTTGTATACATGTATATGTGCGTATACAGATTATATTCTTTGAAATTCAGAATCGTGATCTGAATCAAGTAGAAATGATGCCAAATTTCAGGTGTAGAAATATAAAAAAGGTTTCCGATTAAAAAAGTAAGTTTGCAAAATAAGTTGTAACTAGTGGAGCGCATGGCATCCCTGCAATTGCTGGAACTTCCCGTATCAAAAATTATTTTTTTTAAAAAGATTAACATTTTTGAAAAAAAATTACTCTGAAAAAAATACATTTTTGAGAAACTATAAATTTTTGACAAAAATTTACTTTTTTTTGAAAAAAAAGACTTTTTGAAGAAAAATTTATTTTGAAATATTTTGGAAATTCTGAACTTTTTTTCAAAGCAATCGTACTGCTTTAACTGCATAGAGACAAAATATCGAAGCGCCGTCTAACGGATAAACATTGGTACGGAACCCATAGGAAGGTAAACAAACTTTATACTTATTGTTAAAATCTCTATAAAATATCTGATAATTTGATGTGCATATGCCTAATGATCATTTTTGACCGCCAAATGGCATTTTTTTTACTCTTTTTACTAGATCTCCGAAACCGCTAAACCTGCCTTCATGAAAATTTGATAAATTCTTCATATTGTTAATACAAGTAATATGTTTTCTCAATTATTCAAATCGAACGCTCCGTTCTCTTAAAAACTGAGTTACCGTTTTTGGCACTTTTTGTCCCATATCTTCGGAACGGCTAGACCTGCCTTCGCCAAAAACTAATCAGCACGTCTCCTTATCAATACGAATCGAATGTTTTTTGAATTATTCAAATCGCTTCATCCACGTTCCCGAAATCGTCGACGAAAATTTTTATCCACACACACACACATACACGCACACATACACACACACATACATCCGTTTTTTTCTAAGGTGTGCCAAAATGTTCAGAAGGTTTTAAAACGTAAAAATATATAAAAATTTTCATTTTCGATTTTTTGCGATTACTATAACTTGCCCTACGGGAAGTTAAAAAAAATATATAAATGCCTCACCAGGAAAACCAAAATACAAAACTTGAATATACTTTGAATTGTTTTTTTAAGTAAAAAAAACATACATATCATTATCACTTAATATTATTTTATAAAAATCATTTCCCAATTTTATTTTAAATTCTATTTATTGTTTTTTATTAAATAATGTAATTTAGATGTACTAGATGGTGGCACACATCAAGTGTCGAAACGTATTACTAAAAAAGTGGTTTTTAATCCACGAATTGAATGATAATTATATCAAATATATAAATTAAAATATTAAATGATTGAATTAAAATATATAAATATGATAAACGTGTGTACCTAATAATAATTATTTTATGCATATGCATAATTATTTAAATTTAACAAATAATTATTAAAAAATTATGATAATTATTTAGATAAGTGGTTATTATCATGCTATTTACACTCTGCTTACAAATTATATTACGCCTGCTAGATTATTACACCTATTAACATATACGAAGAAACCTTTGGTAAACACTGACATATATCAATAATTTAAAAAATTCAATAATGCAATCTAATTTAAATGCTACAATACGTGTTTTTCTCGCATGATTACAAATAAAAATCCAAAGTTTGGAAAAAATATATAAAAATAAATATTAATACAGCAAATTAATATATATGTATAATAATAAACACAACAAATATTTGGCGTCTAATATTAATATTATTATCACGATTGTACTTTTTGTAGTACAATGTTATTTCAGAAAAATATTACAAATGACAAATAAAAACTTACAGAAGTAAAACACTGCGACCGTGGGACCATGTTTTCACTTAATAAATTCTAACCTCAAACTGAGACATGAGTCGGCTCAGAGTTCGATTGATTATGATCAGAGGAATCGTTATCAATAAAATTTTACAGAAATGTATTCTGGGTGGCGTTCTCATCACCTAGGATATTTTTGATAGCTTGCTGTACGTTTGTAGTGTAGTAATATTTAAGAACACTTAATTAACTAGTGGTGTATGGCATCGTGCCTTAAGAGAAATTACTGGAACTTTCCGTACTAAAAATTAATTTAAAAAAAACAATAACTTTGAAAAAAATATATTTTTGAGACTTTTAAAATCTTTGGAAAAAAATGACCTTTTTGAAAAATTTAAATTTTTTTTTATACTTTTTGAAATTTTGAATTTTTTTTTTCTTGGATAAACGTTGGTACGGAACCAACATTTGTTCTTATAATTAAAATATCGACAAAACACGTGATAATTTGATGTGAATATGTTTAATGATCATTTTTGTCTGTTTGAATGTTTTTTGAATCATTAATCCGTGTTCTCGGGAACGTCAACGAAAATTGTATCCGCACATACACACGCACACGCACACACACACACACAAATACATCCATTTTTGCTAAGGTATGCCAAAATGTTGAGAAACCTTCGAAACGTAAGGATATATAAAAATTTTCATTTTTGATTCTTTGCGATTACTTTTGCGATTTACTTACCCTACGGGAAGTTAATAAAAATATCTTAGAAAAATGTCAATTGTATACATTAAAGTAGTATAAGATATAAAATTAAAAGAAAGCATATTAAAATAACAAGTACCACCTTATAACCTACGTCCTTAACAAAGCATTCTTTTCCATTCATTTTCTTTAGGGTAGAGCAGGGCTAGTTGATCATAGGGGCAAGTTGAGCAATCGAAATATCTCGAAAACTATTCACCGTCCGTTTAGGCATTATATGGCGGAAAGATAGAGATTTGGGAGAAATAAACATCCCGCGATCGCAAGTGGCCGCTGGACAAATGAGTGAGGCTCACGGGCGTTTTGTTTATTTTGAAAGTAAAACAGTAATTCATCACGAGTTTTCGTCTGGTTTAGTCAAATGTCATTTATTTTTAATCAGGTAAATGTTATTCTTCCATATAATTATAGTACTTTTAATATGCACAGAGATTCTGGGTATAAATCTCACGGTTTTTTTATAAATTCACTTTTATTTCGAAATTCCGAGACGGGGTTAGTTGAGCATAGTTGCTAAACTTGTTATGTCACTAAGACAATTATCATTAACTTCCAGAAATTAATTATTATTTTTAAAATTTAAGCTAAGTCTATGAGAAATAATATAAAGAAATAATAATTTTGAACAAAAATACTGAATATAATGGTAAAATAATTCCTAAGATACGATATTGTTTTGTGGATTCTACTTTTGGTTAATTATTCAAAGAAAATTACTATAAGTTTTGTTTTCTCTGTCAATAAAGACTATAAATATAGAACTGGTTATTAAAAACTTATTTTATTTCATCACATTGAACCTATGATTTCATTATTCTTTCTTAGTGCTCAACTTGCCCCACCTATGGGATACATTGAGCATACTTGACTTTTTGCATTTAAACAGCTGTAGCTTTTAAATTTTACTTATTACCAAAAAATAGTATTAACACTTTTGTTAAGCGATAAACAACAAATCCATTAAGCCGTATAGCAATTTATTGAGGAGCTACATCCGTTTAAGTAAAAATTTGCTCAACTAGCCCGCCCTACCCTATGAGAATGCGCTACCAGGCTGGATTGTTCAGTTTCGCAAGCAATCAAAATTTGAAATACTATGAAACTTGACCTAGAACTTCGACAGACATCAGATTATTAACGATATAACATACATGAATTAATAACGTACTTTGCGATATTTAATCTGGCATCCTGTGCTGTATCAAAACCAAACCCTGACATCATATCCTCTTAGTATTTGCGGCCAATCTAATAGTAAGTACTGAACTGAAAACAAGGCAAACAATTTTCTAATTCACTTGGTTCACCTTGCGATGTCATTGTATATCTTCCTGTTGGAAAAATTCTTAGAAATATTGAAAATTAAGAAATTGCGAAAGCGAAAATTTAGGTGCCGTTTCAAGTGTTATTCTGATCGAAGACCTGCCCCATCTACACCTACACTAAGTACTATTTATGTAGGTAATATACAGAAGTCGTTTTAATTACATAGTTCCTATTTTCCTTGAATGGCTATTAAGATCCAATTAAATGATTCATTGAGTTATTTCTTGTATAATTCTGCAGTAACTTGCAAACATATTTCTACCCATTGCCCCTGGGTAATCTCAATTGGCTATCTGAAAATATGTTTGCAAATTATTGCTGAAAGCTACAAAAAATTAATAGATCATTTAAGTGAACACTCAATAGTCATCTAAGGTAAAAAGAGCCTGGAAGAATTACTAGATAAGAGACTTTGTTTTTTTTTTATTTCTTTTTCATTTTTTTGTCATTTGACCCACAATTTTGACTTTAGATTGTTTTCAGCGGAAAAAACTACATTGGAAAACATATGCCGCACACCCAATACAGACAACTTTTTTTGTGGATCTCTGTTATCTTTAATCTCTTTAGGCATTGCAAAGAAATACATAATAGAAGATATTTTATAAAAAATTTCTGCATTATTAATAAATGTGTATATACATTGCTAACACCGCCTACTAAAAAATATGATATATTAAAAAGTAACATAGCTTCAAAAAAAGTAAAAAGTCATAGTTATAGAATAAAGTAAATATAATACTTACCAATGTTTTTATATTCTATCCAGCTAGATTTACCATTTTTATTAATTACTTTACACAACAAAATCGTCGAATTTCTTGGGTATTATGACTTTCACGAGCAACCAACAGATCCAATTATATTCTTTGGTACAAAACCTAAAAGAAATATAAAATATTCTCCTATTAGAATTTAGTTTTCTAAAAGCTTTTGTGATGTAGTAAAAATGATTATTTTTACTACTGCTAGTAGAAGAGAAATTCCCAATTCCCCAATTCTAATTTTCATATCCTTTTTTATTAGAAGGTTTTCCTTTGGTCTGTAATGCCCGAAAGGGCCTTTCTCGCTATGAAACTTTTTTTCATTTTTATTCTAAAGTAAATATAGATATCACTGCTGCTTGATGTCAGGTTGCACGCAATGCAGGATTTGACTTTAAATCAGAATGCAAGGCCATAGCTCTTATCACAAAGTCACGTTTTCCCAAGACTTGGACTACAAAACATGTTACTAACCTTGTGGCGGCGCTAGACCATTCGTGGGCGTCGGCGAAATTCGTTTGCGAGGCCCCCCTTTTTTGCTAGTTGCAAGTTGCTAGTGGTACATGGCATCGTGCCTAAAGGCAAATTGCTGAAACTTTTCGTGCCGTAATTTAAATTTTTGAAAAGCTTTGAAAAAATTTGAAAAGTGAACGAAATTGACTTTTTTTAATTTGAAATATTTTGTTGAAAATTTCGAACTTTTTTTCAAAGCAATCACGTTGCGTTAGCTGCTTAGAGACGAAATATCGAAGCGCGTAAACGCCGCGTTGCAGTCTAACTTAACTCACTATTAATTAAAATCTTTATAAAATATCTGATAATTTGATGTGCATATGCCAAATGGCGATAATTATCGCGAAAAAGTTTCCTTTTGCCCAACCATTTGATTAGCAAATTTTATGTTTTTTCGATCATTATGAATAAAAAATGGTTGGAAATCACCGACTTAATAACTAATTAGATAAAATTTTGCAATCTGCAAGTGATTAATTAGATTTAAAAAATCTATGTTCATACTAATTTGAGTGCACAAATCCGAACATCACATAGTAGGTAGACATGGTCTAAAAGCTCATTAATCTCTAATCATTTATCGTAGTTCCATAAAATTTATGTTCGAAGTTTTTTTTGAAAAAATATTTTTACAATAAATTACGAAGAAACTGTGCGGTCGATCTTGACGAAAAACAATTCAGCACGATCGCCAACTGAAAACTTTCGATCAGTTTTTGAATGTTTAAAATTGGTTCAAAAATGTCAAAATATCGTTTTTTAAGACGCTTAGATTTTTTGTCGACGACATCAGAGCGGATCAACCGATTTAAAGGATTGAAAAAAACATTCGATTCGTGTTGATAAATTGTCAAAGGCAGATTTAGCGGTTTCGGAGATACAAAAAAAGTTTAAAAGGTTATCAATTTTATTTGAAAGAACTGATCATCCCGATAGAATGTTTAAAAATATATTGCTTGTGTTGACGGTGTGAAACAATGATTAGTTTCAAATTAACAGTTTTTGTTATTATCTCATTGTTATTTCTCATTGATCAATTTTTATTGATCATTGATTACTTTTATTCCTCGAATATTTAATTACTGTTTCGATACGTTAAGATTCCCACTCGTATGTATTTCCAAAAAGAACGATGATTTACATAGTGCTCACATAAGAAATACACAAATATAAGCAACCAGAGAATTAACCTGCGCGAAGTTATTTAGATTTAATAATCTATAGTGTTGACAGACGATGTTAGATAATGTCCATAAAAGATAAAAGAGTAAAATGATAGTGCCTGTAAACCACTAATCACCTTCTTTACTCGCACATCCGTATGAAAATTAACTAAATTTTAAATAATTAAAATTTTTCCGGGGCCTCTCGCGGCCGCCGACACCGCCGACGCCTAGCGCCGCTACTGCTAACCTATCAGGTACTAAATTTCATATGCGCGTTATCTAATGTTGACGGATGGGCAAAAAGATAAGTTATCTATTACTAATTCCTATTTGGGGCGGAAATAGTTTGCAAAAGGTTTAAATAAGGTACCAAACATTCACAAAAGCAGTTTCATATTTTTTTCAAATGATTTGAATATTCGATAAAAAGGACAGCGCCGCCCTAGGGCTGAGTTATACTCCAACTAGATTCAAGGAAGAATAGTGTGTGATTTACTATTGTTATTTCACACCGCAATGCCCGGAAATAGACTAGTATTTTCAATTAGAAATATATTTTTAATCTATATTTTCAAATGAAAATTGATATCACTACTGCATGACATCCAGAACGAGGGTACAAACTCACTACCTATCCACACAAGAAAGTGCGCTGAACCGTAAAAAAAATTAACTGCTAGATATTTAGTTGGACAGCATTGAAGGACAATCAATGCTAGAGCCAAATATTGCGTACATTTTTTTAAATGTATAGAAGGATATATGCACAGGAAGGATACTAATATAGCGTCGCCACGTCCTGCACATGTAAACAAGATAATACGTATTTGATTAATATTGATTGATAACAGTTTTCTTTAATTTCACTATGTATACAAAACTAAAAACACAGCTATATCTAAAAAGTGCATTAAAGGTTTTGTATAAATGAATTGCAATAAATAACCTTATATATTTTATCTTTCTCTGATTATTCAAATAATTTCATTAGGGCAAAAAATTAAAATTAAATACGAGTACTTTGTGCAAAAATAATAGAATAAAATATTATAATCAAATACTTAGAGTTCCAATTATCCGATTTGTCTTATTTAGTTAATAGACAAATTTTAATTTTGAATGATGATATTGATTGAAAAGTTATCATGTTATTTGCAATATGGGAAAGCTTTTAAAAATTCATTGAATACTATTCAGATAATTGGGCTCCCCTGCAGCCTAGTGGTTAAAGTAACGTCCTTCCAACTAGAAGGTTGCAAATTCGGGACCCACCTCAGCCTGATGTCAAGAAGTAGTGATATCGATATTCACTAGTAAATATAAATAAATAGCAATATGTTTCCAAGTAAAAATAGTCCTTACCCGGAATTGCTGTATCAAAAAAATATTCTCAAGTAGAAAGAATAAAAAAAATATATCAAATTAACAAATTTTAATTTTAGATGATGATACTGATTGAAAACTTATCATGTTATTTGCAATGCAGAAGGCTTTTAAAATCTTGAATATTAGTGGTTAGATCTACGTCCTTCCAACCAGAAGGTTGCAGATTCGATACCCGCCTGGAACAGCCTGATCTCAAGTAGTAGTGACCTTGGTTTCAAATTGGATATATAGATAGCAATATGTTGGCGAAAAGCAACCTGTGAAAATAGCTAATACCCGGCATTGCTGCATCAATAATAATTTATAAGAAGTAATAATAAAAAAAATCTTCAAATAAAAATCTCGTAGTTAAGAACAATTAATCACAACAGAATATAGGACTCTTAAGTTCTGATCGCTGTTCAAATAAAAATAATTCTGATAAATCTTCATGTCAAATTATGTAGTAATACATAATGTTACTTTGTTGCTTTGTAGTATTTTTCAGTAATTGTCGGATAGCAGTTTAAACTTAAATGGCGCTTAACCAGGTCTAATACGTGATAGCAAAGGATAAATTTATTTTAATATAATATTTCTTGAATGAAATATTGCATCTTAATTGTTTTTGGTAATTTCCATAGAATTTCCGGCATTCAAGTGCGTTTCGAGGCAAGAGCATATTTTCAATAACTTGGAACGGATGCGACTGCTGATATATCATATCGCTTATGGACACATTGTACTTACTTCACCACTTCCATATCGCACAAAAATGAGAGAAGCGCTTTTAGTTTTAATTTTGAGTTTTAAAATCAGTTTTTATTTATCGCCCGGGCTAACAAAAAAGTCAAAAAGTCGTTAATATCGCCCGCGACATTCGGTGACGATCGATTGAAAATTTGAATAAGCACTACCTAGTCTTAAGATTTGTTTGTTTATTTAATAAAATAATATATTATATTCTATTAATATTTAATGATGGTGGTTAGTTGTTTAAACCAAGTTATTTTTGTGATTTTGATCGGTTTTGGATTTACTTCTTCTAAGATGATTGGTCGTTATCAAGGTAAACTTCCCTCATATAGTCATTCATTTCAATTTTTTGTTACTGATAAAGGGCGAAATAATTTATCATTAAACCTACTAACTACATGTGATTAACAAACTATTTTTGGTATAAATTAATCAAATATGAAATTTGTGTTCAACTTTAATAATATTAGAAAGCCGCAATTAGTTCTGTTTATTCTGCATGAGTAAAAAAATATAAAAATTCTAATAATTCTACTATTATAAATATAGTTTTAATTATAAATTAAAATATTTTAATTTATAATATTAAGAAAAATAATTTTGATCCTATCAAAAAATAAACAAGTTACTTGAGTTTTGTAATAATATCACCTGAATGTCTGTATGTGCTAATAATAATTGAGATCATCAAATAATGAAACTATAGTTGTAGATTTTAATCCAGAAATTTTAAATTCACTATAAAAAAGTTTCAAGAGGTTTAAGCTATTTAAGCTAACCATATAATGTCCAGCTACTTTTCATACATAGATAAATAAATTTGCAGAATTTTTATGACGAATTAATCTTCCATGTATTCTTCATTTTTGGAAAAAAAGTTATATTGAAAAATATATTGAAGTGTAAAAAAACATTTATTATTTAATTATTTTTCAATTGAAATAATTCACTTTTTATCTGAATAATTAAACATTTTCCAATTCAAACATTCAACGCAACGCAAGAATTAAAACGCACAATTTTCTTAGTTATTTAGCTAAAATTCGATGTAAAAATAATTGAATAAGTAAAAATAATTAAGTAAGAATGATCATACAAGTGTATAAATGTATATTTTTTTATGAATAGTTTCTAAGGGGATATTCCATTTCCCCAGACGTTGAATAAAAGAATTGATAAATTAAATAAATATTTTTTGAAGAATTTATGTGTATTATAATTCGCAAATTGTCTATCGCCAAAAGCTAATTTATTGTTTGAGTAACTGAATTTTCTTAAAACACATATAACTGACATCAAAATTACAATAATTTATTCAAAGATCTATTAATTTAAATTATATATTGTTAAAAAATATATTATGTTTTTTCTTTTGGTTAAAATCTAAAATTTTATTTAAAATCATTTTTCAATACAAACTACAAGCAAACATTGATAAAACATAAATAATTGATATTCTGACTGAACATTGTTTAATTAGAACTTGTGTTGAGACACGATAGAAGTAAGATCATAATTTCAATGAAAAAATAATTTTAAAAATCTTATTTTCAATTATTGATTTTGTGTTCATTATTAACTGAAAAAGTTTCATCTATTACGGTTCTTTTATAATTTTCTTTGAAATGTTTAAATATTTTTTTGCTATTTGTTTTGTAATTGTCGTAAATTATTTTAGAACATCTGAATAATGACACATATTTAGTATCGAAACATACATGCATAAATATACATATAATAAATATGTTTATTTTAATAGTTGTATCATTATTAGTCAAGTCATTATAGTAAGGTACACCTCGAATTTTGAGATACCCAGATGTATGTCAGTAAATACTTACGTTTTGCCAAGTTGTCTCAAAACCTACATATGTTGCGTACACCCTTCCATATGCAAGTTTTGAGACAACTTTTAGGGTGCGTAATACAAATATTTACAGACTTACAGCTAGGTATCTCGAATTCCGAGACCCTTACCTAATTTAAGCTTAAGTGACTGGACTATTTGTTGTGTTATTTCCGTCTTGACAAACTATTTTTGGTATAAATTATACAACTTTCATTATATTTAAAAATTTTGTTCAATTTTAATAATATTAGAAAGCCGCAATTAGTTTTGTTTATTCTGCATGAATAAAAAATGTCAAAATTATTTAATCGCGCACATTCAATTAATTATAAGTATCTTAATTATTTAAGTATTGGTGCTAAAACTTTAAGAAAATGTTTCCAAGTCAAACAAAAAATGGCGGAAATATATACTATCGAATCAAGCCCTTGACAACCTTATTCGAATCACATTTTACTTGAATTTTACGGAAAAATATGCTTTTAGAAAATGTGCTCGTTCGTTAAAGGTTAATAATTTTTGTAAAATATTTTTTATAATAACTTATGCTTAAAATCTTGAGTTATCGCGTGTATTTGTCAAATTCAACACTCTTTATCATATTTATAAAATAAATACATCGAGAGAGCTTTTTCGTCTTCTGGTCTACAAATAAGTTCGATTCGAGTTGATATAAATCATGATTCAAATCTTGTTTTTTTTTCAATTCAAATCATTTGAATAAAGAAATTTTCGAGTCGATATTTAATACAGTAATACTCCGTTTAACGCCGTATCGTTTAGCGCAGTTTCGGTTAGCACTCTTTTATTTCAACCCAAGTTTTGAAGGGATAAATGAGGAAGATGTTGAAGAAATAATTCAAGAAGCAGAGCAGGCCCTCTAATGGTGAGCTCAAGTAATGAACTGAACAAGAAGAAAACAAAAATGTTGACAGCAGTGATTCAGCGAAAAAGCAAAAAGAACTTTCGATAGTAATTGTAAAAAGCAGTTCGTCTACCATTAATAACTGATCAATTCATTGAAAATGATCCAAATTATGACAGGAACTCTAAAGTAAGGCGTGGTGTGAGAGATGCTCTATCCGTTTATAAACGCCTTTTAAAAGAACAACGCAAAAGAAAAAGTGAAACGACATTAGATGCTTTTGTCACAAAAAGGCAAAACACTGAAAATACGGAAGACTAACTAAATATAACTGACTTAGAATGTTATTTGTTGATTCAAGAATATTCGTTTTGTTGTTTATATTTTGTTTTTATTTCTGCAAGAAATAATAATGTGGTATTAATTTGGGCTTTAAGCAATAAATGTTAGGTTTTATTTTAGTAAAAATAACATACTTTTTAAATTTAATACCGAACCAATTTCCTAGCCGTCCTTCCCTAACCCCAATATTTTTATGTAAAGGTAGCCTCGTTTAGCACTGTTTCGCATTGCGCTCTACTTTGATGGAACGTAACCCCCGCGCTAAACGGGGTATTCCTGTATTACATATGTGTATGTATAAAGTCGCATAAATTAATAAATATTAATGCTAATTGCTAATTCCAATAGGGACCGAATTCATTAACGCGTTCGTCGACGTACGACCGCCGTTGGGGTTGGCGCTCACATGGCATAGGCCCGCCGTTGCAGAACCTGGAGTCAAGCCAACGTTGCCGGCCACTTCCTAGGCCCGTCAATGGGAAATCAAGGACCAGGCAAAAGGGTCGGTTTGCGATGTTTTCATGCAATTCAGGATATATGCTAATTGGGCCGAAACACGCCGTTTGCGAAAACGGAGAATGGGATGTCGAATCACCAGTTTGTGCTAGTAAGTGGAAATTTAAACTAGTTGGTATTTTGCTTTTGCTTTGAGGCGAGTTACATGAACTTCCCGATATGTGCAAATAATCGACTTAATCAATAAAAAATAAATTAATTTATAAGTGTATTCCGAGTGGATTTATTACACATAATTGAAACGAACGAACACGTTAACTCGGAGTATTTTCTACAAATAATTTTTATAATTGAAACAGTTCCCATAAGACTAATGGTTTAGTATGTTCATTAAGACCAAGTACTCTATTATTATACCAAGTACATAGTCTAATTTTAATTTTAACAAACGTCAAAAAAAACTACTCATTTTCTCAAGCTTTGATGATTTTTTAAAATTAAACTACTTGTCGTAAGACCGTAATATTTCAGTAAGTTCTATAAAACCATGATATATATCACCAAAAAAATCCATAAAAATCGGCTTAAATTTTTAACTTCCCGTAGGGCCAATTTATTTAAAAGTTATAGTAATCGCAAAAAAATCGAAAATGAAAATTTTTATATATCTTTACGTTTCAAAGGTTTCTGAACATTTTGGCATACCTTAGAAAAAATGGATGTATGTGGTGTGTGTGTGTGTGTGTGTGTATGTGTGTGTGTATGTGTGTGTATGTGTGTGTGTATGTGTGTGTATGTATGTAGTATGTGTGTGTATGTATGTGCGGATACAAATTTTCGTCGACGATTCGGGAACACGGATCAACCGATTTGAATAATTCAAAAAACATTCGATTTGTATTGATAAGGAGACGTGCTGATTAGTTTTTGGCGAAGGCAGGTCTAGCCGTTCCAAAGATACGGGGCAAAAAGTGCCGAAACGGTAACTCAGTTTTTAAGGGAACGGAGCGTCAGATTTAAATAATTCAAAAAAATTTCACTTGTATTCACAAGATAAAAATCGATAAAATTTTCATAAAGGTAGGTCTAGCGGTTTCGGAGATATGGAGGAAAAAGTAAAAAAAAATGAGCCATTTGGCGGTTAAAAATGATCATTAGACATATGCACATCAAATTATCAAATATTTTATAGAGATTTTAACAATAAGTATACATTTTGTTAACATTCCTATGGGTTCCGTACCAATGCTTATGTGTTAGACAGCGACGCGGCGCTTACGCGCTTTATATTTTGTCCCTATGCAGTTAAATCAGTATGATTGCTTTGAAAAAAAAGTTCAGATCTTCCACAATATGTCAAAATAAAGAAAAAAAAATTTTTTTTTCAAAAAAAAAATTAAAAAAATTTTTTTTTTTAAAAAAAAATTTTTTTTCAAAAAATAGTAATTTTTTGTCCATATATATACTTTCTCAAAAATCTTATTTTTTAATCGTTTTTAAAAAATTAATAATTTTTGGTACGGGAAGTTCCAGCAATTTGCCTTAAGGCTCGATGCCTTAATTGCCTCAAGACAGAATTCCACTTACAGCTAGTTTAACTTCCGTAGGGCAAGTTATAGTAATCGCAAAAAAATCGAAAATGAAAATTTTATATATCTTATGTTTCAAAGGTTTTTGAACATTTTGGCATACCTTAGAAAAAATAGATGTATGTGTGTGTGTGTGTGGGTGTGGTAGTGTGTGTGTATGTGTGTGTGTATGTATGTACGTGGTGTATGTATGTGCGGATACAAATTTTCGTCGACGATTTCGGGAACACGGGTCAACCGATTTGAATAATTCAAAAAACATTCGATTCGTATTGATAAGGAGACGTGCTGATTAGTTTTTGGCGAAGGCAGGTCTAGCCGTTCCGAAGATACGGGGCAAAAAGTGCCGAAAACGGTAACTCAGTTTTTAAGAGAACGGAGCGTCCGATTTGAATAATTCAAAAAACATTTCACTTGTATTGACAAGATGAAGAATCGATAAAATTTTCATGAAGGTAGGTCTAGCGGTTTCGGAGATATGAGAAAAAAGTAAAAAAAGCGAGTAAAAAAAGAGCCATTTGGCGGTCAAAATGTTCATTAGACATATGCTCATCAAATTATCAGATATTTATAGAGATTTTAACAATAAGTATATAATTGTTAACATTCTATGGGTTCCGTACCAATGCTTATGCGTTAGACAGCGAGGCGGCGCTTACGCGCTTTATATTTTGTCCCTATGCAGTTAAAGCAGTACGATTGCTTTGAAAAAAAGTTCAGATCTTTTACAATATGTCAAAATAAAAAGAAATTTTTTCAAAAAAAAAAAACAAAAAAAAAAAATAAAAAAAATTTTTTTTAAAAAATTTTTTTTTTTTTCAAAAAAGTAATTTTTTGTCCAATTTATAGTTTCTCAAAAATCTTATTTTTCAAAGTTAATTTCTTTTTTTAAAAATGTTAATCGTTTTAAAAAAATAAAATTTTGGTACGGGAAGTTCCAGCAATTTGCCTTAAGGCACGATGCCTTAATTGCCTTAAGACAGAATTCCACTTACAGCTAGTTTTTCAACAGTTAATTACAAGAAAACGGCTCGGTAGATTTTCAACTAAAACT